TACACTGTATAGCAGAAGAACAGACTGCATTCAGAGAAGGCATGTTGTTCTGGGTTAATTCACAATGGTCAGAGTTGCCCTCCTTTTTCATCAGTATTCCAAAGAGCTGCTATTTTATAAACTGTCCATACTATTTAACGAGCAAGCACTGTTGTGCTGGGGTTTGAGGAAGCACAAGAAACCTCACCATTCTCCCGTTTCTAATAACTCAGAAATCGGTGCAGGCCTTCAGGCAGATGGTTATATCACTATTACTGATAAAACTGATATTAGAGAACATGGTTTATGTCTGTGGCAACAACTAGCTTCCTAATACTGCACCGAGACAGACTTTGTCATGCACTGGCAGCACGGGACAACGGTAAGCCTCTCCCATGGAGTCCATCCTTACAAACTTAAGGCATGGACAGGCAAAACAGAACACATTTTTCTATGAGAAGGCATCTTGTAATTCTCTTTCATTTTTCCTCACTCAGGAAGGAGTAAAAGGGCAGAACAAAGCAGGATTGTAACAGAAGGTACCTCAAAATAGAAGTAAGTATCAGAAGTGAGAACAATTGTCACTCCTTTAATGGAAAAACAATGTATTTTTAGGGATCATAAGTTCATACAGTTTTTGGATATATCAAATGTTAGATTTTGAATGTTAGGCAGGAATTTAAACTATATGTATTTTTAGGTCATGCTTACACATGCATTGTGGAACATGGTTCTTATCAGGCCTTACCGTAAGAACACAAAACAGATCACAAAACTGTTGGGAAAATGACACAATTTGCCTTGGCCTTCTTTTGTTTATAACACAGTTGTTCTATGGGCACGATCATTATATTACAAGTATCTTTCTTTTAGCTGTTCTGGATTCTTGTATTCAATACACTTAATCCTTGGTAAAGTTCATCCTTGCATTAATGCATTTGTTTAATGTGCTCTCAAAGACGGCACGTTCATAATAGGATGTATAATATAGGGCAGATAATAAGGTTTATTGCCACCGAGCCTCCAGTGACCATCACAATTTTCAGTATTTATTAATTCATTATACATGTTTAGAGGCCTTATGTGACAGGGACTATGCCAGAGACTGGAGCAACAAAGATGTGTGAGGATGCACTCTAGGAGCTCATGGACAGATGGGGAGGGCAGAAATAGCTCACTGAAGTGCATTGACAGAGCACAGCTGTCCTGTAGGAACACAAACTGGGCCTTGAATCATGCCTAAATCAAGGGACTCTGACACTCCAAGTTGTCTAACTTTATATAACTTGTAACTGGCAGAGGAAGTACTTGGACTTAGACTGATTCCAAAGCCACTGATACCTTAGGTGCCACTTTGTGATGCTGCTGCTCCTCATTGTACCTGTTCCAGATGGGGCAGTGCTTCAGAGGGCAGACGGTGTGGCTATGCAGTTCTCAGAGTAATTTGCCCAAAAAGCTGGCCTTTGAGCCTAGCGCTGACCCTGACTTCGGCCTCCCTCCTTGAGTCAGCTGAGGGGTTGTGACCTTATTAAACCAAGCTGACAAAGGCATTCCCCCTTTCTCTAATGATCCCATTTTCCTTACCCCTCAACAACCTGAGGTTGATCTTTGATCAGGCTGAGGCCCAGGTGAAGGAAATGCTTGGGAGTGGCTGGGAAATACTGGTGAACTGGTTGGAGGATCCCACTTTACCCCACCTCCCTGTCATGCTTCGGCTGATTCATGAGGGATTTGTTGTTGTTGTTTCAAGTTGCCTATAAATCAGCTGTACCAAAAATGGTAAGGATAACCCTAGATTCTATGAAGGTAATTCCTAAGTCCAGGGGTAGCAACTTCCAAACACTGTCTACATCAAAAATTTGGCATCACAAATCTGAGTTTTATCTGCAAGCATGCAGAAGGAAAGGTATAAAGCAGCAGCTGGGGCAAGTTTTGACTTCTCTGACCCTCTGTAATTGCACGAGAGTATAAGATTCAAAATTGTGAATAAATGAATGCTTGCACCAACTGAAAAAAGTTTTAAATTATCAGTAACTCTGCCTAAAGTGATCTCTTACTTCTTTCCTTATGGGCAAGAACCTACCTTTTTTGAATAGACCTCTAACCTTGAAATTCTGTTATTCACAGATGTATGGTGGGGGCTCATAGGGGATTGAAAATAATCAGTATTTGGAGAATCATGAGAAGAGCAGCTGAGACTGGAGCAGCCACCACAGGATATTCTCATTTGGGCTGAGTTTGGAAACAACAGCCAATGTTTACTGAATGATTCCAGTGCTGAGGGCTTTGTATGTACTTTTCTTCATAATGTCCTGGTAAGTTCTCTTCTTTTTTTTTCTTTTTGAGACAGCAGCTCGCTCTGTCATCCAGGCTGGAGTACAGTGGTGCGATCTCAGCTCACTGGAACCTCCGCCTCCTGGGTTCAAGCGATTCTCCTGCCTCAGCCTCCCGAGCAGCTAGGATTACAGGTGCCCGCCATCATGGCCAGCTAATTTTTTTGTATTTTTAGTAGAGATGGGGTTTCACTATGTTGGCTAGGCTGTTCTTGAATTCCTGATGTCGTGATCCGCCTGCCTTGGCCTCCCAAAGTGCTGGGATTACAGGCATGAGCCACTGCGCCCTGCTAAGTTCTCTTCTTGTAAAAGGGGAGCTGAGGCTTAGAGAGGTCACAGAGCTTGAACATGGGGAAGGAGACACTGGAGCGAGGCAGTTGGCCCCTGGAGCCCACATTCATACCACTATGTTCTCCTGCATGCAGTCATGGAACTTCTCACTCAGCTCAATATTGGCATGAGTCACCTGAAATGGGGTGCAGGGGCTTCTTAATAGTGCTGATGGCTGACTGACAGGCTTCAGAGATCTGCTTACTGTCAAGGAGCGTTGTGAAGTTAGCAAAATAGTAAAGATGCTGTAGTTGGAGGTTGGCTGACTATTCAATGAAGGCCCTCCAAGGAAGTAAAAATGTGCCATCTCAGCCTTGTCTTAGCCTCCATAACAGAACTCCTGTTTCTGAACTACAGGAATCAAACTGACAAGATATTAATATATACAATGCCAATTTGCTAATTTGCAATGTTAAGATAGACCCTCCTAGTGAGTGACCAGAATGTTGACTGTTCAGAGAACTTTTTCTAAGAACCAAGGTTTGTGGGAACCTCCTTAGTTATTATAACTTCATTTGTGAATGCAAATGAGAATAAAGGGAAAGGATGGTGCTGATGTCTGGAATCCCAGAGTGCAGCTAGAACAGCAAAAGCAAGAGGCAGTCCAAGACCAATTAGTGCAGAAACAAGCACTGCAACTGCAACAAAAGTGCTACCACTGAAGTTGACACAGCAGAGTAGGACAATGAGTATTTATAAAACTGACCCTCACTTTCATGTGAAGCTTAAAAAAGAGAGTCAAACACACAGAGATAGAGAATAAAACAGTGGTTCCAACAGGCAGTGGGGAGGAGGAAATGGGGAATGTAGGTCAAAGGATGCAATGTGGCTGGCACACAGGATGAGTGAGCCTAGAGATCTAATGTGTACACGAGGACTACAGTTAATAATACTGCATTTAATTCAGGATTTTACTAAGAGATTTTAGGTGCTCTTGTCACATACACACACACACACACACACACACACAAAGGGCAACTATGTGAGAAGTGGATATGTTGATTTACTTGACTATAGTAACCATTTTACTATGTATATACTGTATACATAGTATACATATGTATATATTGATATATGTAATATCAAAACATCATGTTGTACACCTTAAATGTTTACAACAGGCTGGGCGCAGTGGCTCGTGCCTGTAATCCCAGCACTTTGGGAGGCTGAGGCAGGTGGATCACGAAGTCAAGAGATCGAGACCATCCTGGCCAACATGGTGAAACCCTGTCTCTACTAAAAATACAAAAATTAGTTGGGCGTGGTGGTGGGTGCCTATAGTCCTAGCTACTTGGGGGGCTGAGGCAGGAGAATTGCATGAACCTGGGGGGCGGGGCTTGCAGTGAGCCAAGATGGTACCACTTCACTCCAGCCTGGCGACAGAGCGAGACTCCGCCTCAAAAAAAAAAAAAATTACAATAAAAAATGCTGATCCTCATCAAAGTATCAGTATGCTTTGAGAAGGCAAGACTGTATGCCAAGCATTTCTGAAACATATCAAACAAAACTCCTGAAGTTTCACTAAAGTGCTCTCTCTTGAGATGTGCGGTGAATGAGAGAATCTTGTACTGAGAAACACACCACTGACTATAAACTATTGGTAGTATGATGAATTTACTGCCAGCAATCCAGGGCCGCTGCTGCAAAAACAAAGTCAAGACTAGGAGAGATTATCATAAAAAGAGTGAAGAAGGTTGGGCATGGTGGCTCACACCTGTTATCCCAGCACCTTGGGAGGCTGAGGCAAGAGGATCGCTTGAGCCCAGGAGTTTGAGACCAGCCTGGGCAACATAATGAGACTTCATGTCTACAAAATAGTAATTAAAAAAAGCCTAGCATGGTGGCACACACCTGAAGTCCCAGGAGGCTGAGGTGGGAGGATTGCTTGAACCCAGGAGGTTGAGGCTGCATTGAGCCAAGATCATACTACTGCATTCCAGCCTGGGCAACAGAGCGAGACTCTACCTCAAAAAAAAAAAAAAAAAAAAAAAAAAAAATTGTGAAGGACATTGACTAAGAGCTCCTTGAGAAGCTAGAATACACAGAGACCCATGCCTATAGGAAATATTTCTAAAGAGATCTAAAATTGACAGTCAAAAGGTTATTGTGAAAGGCTAGACTTAAATCTTTTCCCCCTGGATACTAGAAAATACACAACTTATTAAGTTGAAGTATTTGCTTACACTTAAGTCACATATTTTAAAAAGCCACTAAAATCTCATGCTTTAATGATATTAGTACACAATTCAAAACACTGTACCATGGTATCCCCTCACTGGTACTTAGAACACAAATGAAACACATCTTGATAAAGTATCTTCCTATTTGGAATGTGCAAGACATAATTTACTAAGTTGATTCAACTATTAGGGACCGAATTTTATTCTCAAAGAGATGATCACAGAACATGAGAATTAAACATTCCTATAAAAGAAACGGATGCTTTTATTCAACTTGAGTTAAAACCACAATGAATCATATCAGAGTTCATGGGAATCATAATAAATGAATAGTTAACCACTCACAAAATCAAAGCCATCGACATACTGAGATAACACGCATTAATTAGTGCTATAGTTCAAAACATACCCTTTAACTTATTTAGCACGCAAAGTAACCATAAAAGTAATGTCTATACACTCTAACCAAAATTTTTAAAAATTAAAAATAGCACAATTCTACGATTCTGATTTTACCAAGAAAATAAACCTTTTTTTTGGCACATGCTGTTCTATCAAAATGGAAAGCTAAGTCAGGCTGCTCTGCTTTTCACAACATAAATAAGCATTCATGCTATCACACTTGGGAAATTAACTCGGTGACAAAAAATTCACTGGAAAATAGAATCCTTGGAAAAATGGGGTCAGGTGCCATCCACTGAGAGGCAATGATAATGTGTGTCCTTGGTTATTAGCACAAAGTCAGGCAGCACACTATAATTTTAGCTACATGCAACTCTATAGGAACACATGTGGCCTGAAAGTTACATGCGAGGGTGAAAAGAACTGCTGTGTTGGGACTGAGGAATGATGGGTGTTTTTCTTTAAATGTCATTTCACCTTTTAAAGGAAAATAAATCAAGTAGGTAGGTAAAAATTACTGAACTAAAGAGATACTAAAGATCAGAAGACTGGCAAATTGAGAAAATCCAGTTTCATGACAAGAGTGACTCAGGAAGGATGTCTCAGTCATGAAGCGGGTGGTGGAAGACAGTTTATATCTTTGGGTATTTATGGCAGGTCAGAATTAAAGATTTAACTTTTTCCCTTACTATTTACATAAAAAGCTGGTTTATCTGAAAAAAGTATCAATCCAGACTTGCCAATAAAGTGGCACTCAGGGACTGTATTATTGATCTACAACAACCGCCTGGAGGCACAAAAGACCCTGAAGGACTTTTTTGATTAGCAAAACAAAAACAAAAACAAAATCAGAAAAGCAAAAAACAGTTAATTTTTGTTTGGTCAAGTTTACTCAACCAGACCACCTTGATACCAACAATGCTGGAGAGCATTTGGCAAGAGCAGGACCACAATGCCAAATTCCTTGGAAAGGTAGACTTCCTGTGATAATTTCACGGATTGGCAAATTTGTGGTTTTTTTCCCATAGCAGTTTTTGAGAATGTTAGTTTCTGGCTGGGGCAGTGGCTCACACCTGTAATCCCAGCACTTTGGGAGGCAAAGGCAGGTGGATTGCTTGCGCCCAGGAGTTCGAGAGCAGCCTGGGTAACATGGTGAGACCCCATCTCTAATTTTATAAAATTAAAAAAAAAAAAAGAGAATGTTACTTTCCTATAAGGCCAGGGTGTCTTAAGTACTAAGACATGCCTGTTGTTGTCCATTCCTTCATAACATTTCTCATAACCCATAATTTATTTCTCATCTGTCTCCCCTGAAAGGGCAGGGGCCTTGTCTATTCTGTTCATTACCATATACCCCAGCACTTAATAATGTCTGGTACATGTAAGTGCTCAATAAATATTAGTTCAATGAATAAATGAAGTATGAATGAATCTCATACAGTCCAATAGACCTGGGGAGAAAGTGGAAAAAACAAAAACCCTAAAAAAATACTTAAGGAAGACAGATAAGCAACAGTTCTATCAGTTGGGGTTATTAGATTTGATGCCAAAAAATTTACCATCATTCCACAACTGACAATAGTTGTTTAGAGATTCAAAATATCTGAAAGATTTCAATTGAAAGTTAATATAAAAAGTGTTCTCTGGAAGACTCATTTACAAATAAATTAATTAAAGGCCTGTTACTAAACCAAGCTACAACAGGAGCCTAATGTTTGTTTCAAGATGGAGAAGACTCTGCTGCATACACTTGGAGGTCTAGATTTCCATAGAGGGCACGTAGCATATTGAGGACCTTTTCTTGAATGCTGTCAACTTGGTCAGAAGGACAGTAATCATCCAGGCTTGACCTAGAACCAAGAAGAGAAAGAGAAAGAAGAAAAATACACATAGGATAAAATCATACTGTGAGGAAAAGCTGCATGTGTTGATTTCAATGTAAAACAGAAAGTAAGGTGTGCTGAATTTTGGATCAATATCAGTTGAAAGCTAGTAAAGGTTTACCTTATGTTAGGCACCTCACATAAATTATGTTCTTTAATTTTCACAGCAACTCTATGAAAGAGGCACAATCAGCATCCCTTTAAAGATATCTGAAACAAAGAGATTAACCTGTGCAAGGTGAAATGTGGCGTGAGCCTTAGTGCTTGATTGCTAGACCACTGTTTGCCTGAAAGTGAGATGTTGCTTGGGAATACAGGGGCTTAGTATCTTAGTGATGAGACATCTTTTATTATGTGTGCGCTAGGGCTAGAAATAATGAGAGTCGAGGTTTTCCAACTGATAAAAGGATTCTATTTCTAAAAATGATTTGTTAACCACAAAATTATAAAGGATCCACGGCTTGGTCCAAAATGAAATGTGGCGATGTACTGGTGTTGGATATACTTTCCTAGGCAGTAGGAAGCAGAAAAGAGCAAAGTAGGTTGGGGCAGATATCTGTATTTTGGGAGTCTTTCCAGAACTTACCAACTACAACCTGAGTTGCACTGGGCAGTTACAATGCTGCTGCCAATTACAACTGGATTAACCAGTGTCTTCTAGTTCTGGATAAGGGTGAATAAAGCCTTCTAGAGGATAGAGAAGAGCAGCACAGAAATCTTTATAGAAGGAACTGGAATTAGTTATCTGGCCTACTCCTTAGTACAAGTATTTCAAACCTAAAGAGATAATCTGTAAGACCACTGATAAACTCCATACTCTGGTAACCAGGCTATTTTTGTGGCTTGATGTGAAAATTTAAGACACAATAAATAATATAGAGAGACTTTATTTTTATTTTTTATTTTTCTTGAGATAGTCTTGCTCTGCTGCCCAGGCTGGAGTGCAGTGGCACAATCTTGGCTCACTGCAATCTCATCCTTCTGGGTCCAAGCGATTCTTCTGCCTCAGCCTCCTGAGTAGCTGGGATTACAGGTGCCTGCCACCATGCCTGGCTAATTTATATATCTTTAGTAGAGACAGGATTTCACCATGTTGGCTAGGCTGGTCTTGAACTCCTGAACTCAGGTGATCTGCCCACCTTGGCCTCCCAAAGTGCTGCGATTATAGGGGTGAGCCACCAGGTCTGGCTTGAGAAACTTTATTAAATACTAACATATACATATGAACAAAGGCCTACTTTATTTTTTGAGACAAGAGCTTCCCTTGTTGTTTAGTGGCATGATCATGGCTGATTGCAGCCTCAACCTCCAGGGCTCAAGCAATCCACCCACCTTGGCCTCCCAAAGTGCTGGCGTTACAGGTGTAAGACACTATGCTCAGCAAGACCTACTTTAAAGTGTCATATGTAAAAACTCAATTTATAAGTCTTAACAAATAAAGCGTACTGCAATACTTTTGGAAAGATTTTTGACTTTTTTTTTTGAGACAGGGTCTCATTTTGTCACTCAGGCTGGAGTGCAGTGGTGTGATCTTGGCTCACTGCAGCCTCAGCTCCACAAGTAGCTGGGCCTACAGGCACATGCCATCACGCCCAGCTAATTTTGTGTGTGTGTGTGTGTGTGTGTGTTTGTACAGATGGGGTTTTGCCATGTTGCCCAGGCTGGTCTCAAACTCCTGAGCTCAAGTGATCCACCCACCACCAACTCCCAAAATGCCAGGATTACAGGTGTGAGGCCACTGCACCTGGCCAATTTTTGACTTCTTTAAATACTATTAGAATGGCTCTTAATGGGAGCTACTCATGAAGGTGTTTTGAATATCTCTTAGTACATTTTTGATTGACACAATGAATAGGGGACGCTACTGACATTTAGGGGACTGGGACAACAGGGCTGCTAGAGGGCTTGCAACAGGCAGGATCATCCTGCAATATGAATAGCTGTCCCGTGTCTTGAATGTTTTCAAAGTCTATTGAGTACTGATGTAAGTGAAAAAGTGATTTTTAATTTTTTGAGCCTATGACATAGTTTGGCTGTGTCCCCATGCAAATCTCATCTTGAATTGTATTTTCCATAATTCCTGTTGCAGTGGGACGGACCTGGTGGGAGATAATTGACTCATGGCAGTGGTTTCACCCATACTGTTCTTGTGGTAGTGAATAAATCTCATGACATCTGAGGGTTTTATAAGGAGAAACCTCTTTTGCTTGGTTCTCATTCTCTCTTTGCCTGCTGCCATCCATGTAAGACATGACTTGCTCCTCCTTGCTTTCTGCCACGATTGTGAGGCTTCCCCAGCCACGTGGAACTATAAGTTAAATTAAACCTCTTGCTTTTGTATATTGCCCAGTCTCAGGTATGTCTCTATCAGCAGCATGAAAACAGACTAATACAGCCTAGAACTGAACACTTTATTATATAGAAAAGTATTTTTAAAAAATGCATTAAATATGAACTAAATTTTCCAGGAATGCAACTACTCTGTAAATTGGGGAAAGACTGGACTTTAACTGCAGATCCTTATGAAGAGACTGTTCAATGACTGAAAAAATGTCATTATGGCAGTGCTGTTCATGGCATCTGGTCAACACATGGTATCTGCATTTGTAACTGCTACATTTACATCATGTAGTGTAACTGCTATAGTACATTTTTAACTGCATGTCTTAAATATGTGAGTCTAGTTTGGCATTTTAATATATTTTATTATCAATTACTTTAATTCCTCCTATGTGTATAGGTATTATGTGTATAGTAGGTTATATTACATATATAATGTATATTATCTATGTATATTATGAATATTATCTATATATATTTAAATTACATATAGGTAGGTTACATTATATGAGGTTTCAGAATGATAAAAGGATGTTACAAAATGTTTGTCATGAATTACATATTATTAGCCTGAGTACTTAAAGTACTTATTTTAGAACCTCATACTTCCATACAAAACCAGCCCAAAAATTAACATAGGAAAGCATTATTAAATTGTTATAACTATTCAGCAATTATATTCAAATTTAAAACATGGCAGCAGCTAAATATTAATTGGTAGGACACAGAAATGAGAATTCTTGTGTTCATCTGAATCTTACCAACTGCAAAGACAAGATAACAATAACTACATTGTTTGCATATCATCACTAATAGGGAAGAGAAAAAGGCCAGGTGCGGTTGCTCATGCCTGTAATCTCAGCATTTTGGGAGGCTGAGTTGCGTGGATCACCTGAGGTCGGGAGTTTGAGACTAGCCTGACCAACATGGAGAAACCCCGTCTCTATGAAAAATACAAAATTAGCCAGGCGTGGTGGTGCATGCCTGTAATCTCAGCTACTTGGGAGGCTGAGGCAGGAGAACTGCTTGAATCTGGGGGGCAGAGGTTGCGGTGAGCCAAGATTGTGCCATTGCACTCCAGCCTGGGCAACAAGAGCGAAATTCCTCTCAAACAAACAAACAAACAAAAAAAACGAGGGAAGAGAAAATACAACATCTAAATTTTGAGCTGAGTAGGTAAAAAAAATTGTATTATTTTATTAGTAATCATTACATTTACCTACAGAAATTGTATTAGCTTCCTACTGCCGCTATAAAAAATTGCCACAAACTTAGTAGCTTAAAGCAACACTAAATTATTATCATATACTTTTGGAGGTCAGAAGTCCTAAAATAAAGGTGCCAACAGGGCTGCATTCTTTTTGTAAGATCCCAGGCATAATCTGTCCCCTGGCCTTTTCTAGCTTCTAAAGGCTGCCTGTGTTCGTGGCCTCCATCTTCAAAGCTGGCAGGGCAGAATTTTCGAATCACTCTCTCTGATTCTGACCCTCCTGCCTTTCTCTTCTAAGGACCCTTGTGATTACACTGGGCCCACTTGCTGAATCCAGGAGAATCTCATCTCAAAATCCTTGAGTTAATCACACTGAGAATTCCCTTTTACCATATAATGCAACACATTCACAGGTTCCAGAGATTAGGATGTGCACATCTCTAGTTTGCCATTATTCTACCGAACACACTTACCTTGCAATTGTCACAAGAGTAGGATTTGGTAAATTTTTCAGTAAATAATGCACAGATTGAATAAGATACTCTATTTCTTGTTCTGTGCTGATATGGTGAGGAAGTTCTGAATAATCGCAGGTTAAACCAGCCTGGTGAACCTGAAAATAAGACAATTAAAAATTACACTGTATGACAGTTGTTTTTATAAGCTTCTTTAATCATTAATGGCCTTATTGACAAATCTTTACTTTTATTGATACATAAAAGATGTGCATATTTTCAGGGTATATGTGATAATTTAATACATTCATACTAGCATATAAAGATCAAATTAGGGTAACTGGACTATCCAACACCTTAAATATGACAAACTTTTAATTTTTAATATCTTTATGCTTTGGGATTATTTTTTCTCTAACAGTTTCTATGTCATAAAAGTTATCTGCTCTCTGAAGTGTTGGTAGAACTCACCTATATACTGTCTGGGCCAGATGCCTCTTCTTAGAATAATTCTTTACTTCTTTATTGTATGATTATTGGTCTTTACTTGAGTTAATTTTGGTAATTCGCATTTTCTATCAAATTATCCATTTCATCTAGATTCTAAAAAGTTGAGGCCAGGCATGGTGGCTCATGCCTGTAATCCCAGCACTTTGGGAGGCTGAGGCGGGTGGATCACCTGAGGTCAGGAGTTTGAGACCAGCCTGACCAACATGGAGAAACCCCGTCTCTACTAAAAATACAAAATTAGCTGGGTTTGGTGGCACATGCCTATAATCCCAGCTTCTAATCACTTGAACCCGGGAGGCAGAGGTTACAGTAAGCTGAGATCGTGCCATTGCACTCTAGCCTGGATAACAAGAGTGAAACTCTGTATCAAAAATAAATAAATAAATAAAAAGTTGATACAAAACTGTACATAATATTCTCATCTCATTTTTAACACATTATTTTACTTACTTTTAAAATATTAATACATGCAACTAATACTATATTCCAAGCTTTGAGAGGATACAAGATAAAATATATTTGTCCTACCTTATTTAACCAACTGTTTTCTTGTGTATCCTTTATGTGTAACCATAGACTACTGCATCTACATATGTGCTTTAAATTTAAATGAATGATGTCCAGTCTTAGCACTAAACTAAACTTGCCTGAAAGTTAGAAGTGGCTCACACGCTACCATTCTGCAACCTTAACTTTAATGTTTTGAAAAATGGAACTTAACTATGTCATAGTTTTGCCTAGAGTATACAAGTGCAAAGCATGAAAAAACACACTAATCAACTATTTTACTAGAGGCTCTGGATACACATCAACAATTTAACTGGCAATAATCAGTTAGTGTGATAAAAGGATGAATTCTGAATGTTCATTTTGCCAAAATGGTAAACCTATTTAGCTTTCTATCTCTGCAGCTGTAGGCACATCATAATTGATTATATAATCTGTGACTGAACCCTAGCCATTCCCTGTCCCCCAAAAAACATCAAACCCACCCAGCGAAAAAAATCCAGATGCAATGTAATGATTAAAGCAGACCTGCCTGCAGACATATTTGATAATATTGTATGAGCTCAAAGCATTTTCTTTCTCTTTTTAAATATGACACAAAGTCTCACTCTGTTGCCCAAGCTGGAGTGCAATGGCACGATCTCAGCTCACCGTAACCACCCAGGTTCAAGCAATCCTCCTGCCTCAGCATCTCAAGTAGCTGGGACTACAGGCGTGTGCCACCACATCTGGCTAATTTTTGTATTTTTTGTAGAGACAGGGTTTTGCCATGTTGCCCAGGCTGGTCTCAAACTCCTGGGCTCAAATGATCTACCCCTGGCCTCCCAAAGTGCTGGGATTACAAGTGTGAGCCACTGCTCCTGGCCTCAAAATATTTTCAAACCTTAAGTATCTTGTAATAATCTTAAATACCATTTTTTAAAAAATGTAAGTCTTGGCTGAGCATGGTGGCTCACGCCTGTAATCCCAGCACTTTGGGAGGCCGAGGCAGGTGGATCACGAGGTCAGGAGATCGAGACCACGGTGAAACCCTGTCTCTACAAAAAATTAGCCGGCTGTGGTGGCGGGCACCTGTAGTCCCAGCTACTCAGGAGGCTGAGGCAGGAGGAGGCGGAGCTTGCAGTGAGGCCAAGATCACACCACTGCACTCCAGGGCCTGGGTGACAGACAGCAGACTCCGGTCTCCAAAAAAAAAAAAAAAAAAAAAAAAAAAAAAGTAGGTCTTGGAAGCATTTATTCAGGGTAACTTGAATGTATGTTCCTGGAAAAAAAAAAAAGTTAAACAAAACAGTGTAAGTCTTGGATTTGCTCAGGTTTCACCAAAATATTCTTTTGCTCATTATATGGTTTTGCTGTATCTCCACTCAAATCTCATCTTGAATTGTAACTCCCACAATTCCCATGTGTCATGGGAGAAACCCAGTGGGAAGTGATTATGGCGGCAGATCTTTCCGGCACTGTTCTCATGACAGTGAATGAATATCAGGAGAACTGATGGGTTTTTTTGTTTTGTTTTGTTTTCTTTGAGACGGAGTCTCACTATGTCACCCAGGCTGGAGTGCAGTGGCACCATCTCGGCTCACTGCAAGCTCCGCCTCCCGGGTTCATGCCACTCTCCTGCCTCAGCCTCCAGAGTAGCTGGGACTACAGGTGCCTGCCACCACGCCTGGCTAATTTTTTAGTAGAGACGGGGTTTCGCCATGTTAGCCAGGATGGTCTCCATCTCCTGACCTCATGATCCGCCCGCCTCAGCCTCCCAAAGTGCTGGGATTACAGGCGTGAGCCACTGCGCCCAGCCAAGATCTGATGGTTTTATTTTTTTTGAGACAGAGTTTCACTCTTGTTGCCCAGGCTGGAGTGCAATAGCACAATCTTGGCTGACCACAACCTCCACCTCCTGGGTTCAAGCGATTATCTTGCCTCAGCCTCCCAAGTAGCTGGGATTATAGGGATGCGCCACCACGCCCGGCTAATTCTGTATTTTTCATAGAGATGGGGTTTCTCCATGTTGGTCAGGCTGGTCTCGAACTCCTGACCTCAGGTGATCTACTCGCCTCGGCCTCCCAAAATGCTGGGATCACAGGTGTGAGCCACTGTGCCCGGTCAGAGATCTGATGGTTCTAAAAACAGATGTCTCCCTGCAGAGAAGCTGTCTCTTCTTGTCTGCTGCCATGTGAGACGTGTCTTTCACCTTCTGCCATGATTGTGAGGCTGCTCCAGCCATGTGGAACACTAAGTCCATTAAATCTTTTTCTTTTGTAAATTGCCCAGTCTTGGGTATGTCTTTATCAGCAGTGTGAAAATAGACTAATACAGTAAATTGGTACCAGTAGAGTAGGGCACTGTTGAAAAGGTACCTGAAAATGTGGAAGCAACTTTGGAACTGGCAGAGGTTGGAACAGTTTGGAGGGTTCAGAAGAAGGCAGGGAAATGTGAACAGTTTGGAACTTCCTAGAGACTTGTTGAATGGCTTGGACCAAAATGCTGATAATGACACGGACAATGAAATCCAGACTGAGGTGGTCTCAGATGGAGATGAAGAACTTGCTAGGAACTGGAACAAAGGTGACTCTTGTTATATTTTAGCAGAGACTGGTGGCATTTTGCCCTCGCCCTAAGATGTGTGGAACTTTGAACTTGAGAGATGATTTAGCATATCTGGTGGAAGAAATTTCTAAGCAGCAAAACATTCAAGAGGTGACTTGGGTGCTGTTAAAGGCATCCAGTTTTTAAATTTTTATTATTTTTTTTTGAAATGGAGTCTTGCTCTGTCACCCAAGCTGGAATGCAGTGGTACCATCTCGGCTCACTGCAGCCTTTGCCTCTCAGGTTCAAGCGATTCTTTGCCTTAGCCTCCTGAGTAGCTAGGATTACAGGTGTGTCCTGCCACACCCAGGTAAGTTTTGTATTTTCAGTAGAGAAGGGGTTTCGACACGTTGGTCAGGTTGGTCTTGAACTCCTGGCCTCAAATGATCCACCCGCCTTGGCCTCTCAAAATGCTGGGATTACAGGCGTGAACCACCGCACCTGGCCAAGGCATTCAGTTTTAAGAGGAAAACGGAGCATAAAAGTTTGGAAAATTTGCAGCCTGACAATGTGAAAGAAAAGAAAATTCCATTTTTTGAGAAGAAATTCAAGCTGGCTGCAGAAATTTGCATAAGTAACGAGGAGCCAAATGTTAATCCCCAAGATAATAAAGAAAATGTATCCAGGGCATGTCAGAGACCTTTGCGGTAGCCCCTCCTGTCACAGGCCTGAAGGTTTAGGAGGAAAAAATTGTTTCATGTGCAGGGCTCAGGGGCCCAGTGATGTGTACAGCCTAGGGACTTGGTGTCCTGTGTCTCAGCTGCTCCAGCCATGGCTAAAATGGACCAATATAGAGCTCGCGCCATGGCTTCAGATGGCCTTGGCAGCTTCCAGTTAGTGTTGAGCCTGCGAGTGCACAGAAGTCAAGAATTGAAGTTTGGGAACTTCTGCCCAGATTTCAGAAGATGTATGGAAATACCTGGATGCCCAGGCAGAAGTTTGCTGCAGGGGCTGGGCCCTCATGGAGAACCTCTGCTAGGGCAGTGTGGAAGGGAAATGTGGGGTTGGATCCCCACCCAGAGTCCCTAGGGGCACCACCTAGTAGAGCTGTGAGAAGAGGGCCACTGTCTGTCCTCCAGACCCCACAATGGTAGATCCACTGACAGTTTGTACCGTGTGCCTGGAAAAGCTGCAGACACTCAACACCAGCCCATGAAAGCTGCCAGGAGGGAGGTTGTACCCCGCAAAGCCATAGGGGCAGAGTTGCCCAAGACAATGCGAACCCACCTCTTGCATCAGAGTGACCTGGATGTGAGACATGGAGTCAAATATGATCTTTTTGGAGCTTTAAGACTTGACTGAAGATGGACTTCAGACTTGCATTGCCCCTTTGTTTGGGCCACTTCCTCCCATTTGGAACGGCTGTATTTACCCAATGCTTGTACATCCATTGTATCTCGGAAGTAATTAACTTGCTTTTGATTTTACAGGCTCATAGGTGGAAGGGACTTGCCTTGTCTCAGATGAGATGTTGGACTGTAGACTTCTGAGTTAACGCTGAAATGAGTTGAGACTTTGAGGGATTGTTGGGAAGGCATGACTGGTTTTGAAATGTGAGGACATGAGATTTGGGAGGGGCCAAGGGTAGAATGACATGGTTTGGCTGTATCCCCACCCAAATCTCATCTTGAATTGTAACGCCCACAATTCCTACATGTCGTGGGAGGAACCCGATGGGAGGTGATTGAATTGTGGGGGTGGGTCTTTCCTGTGCTGTTCTCATGATAGTCAATGAGTCTCACGAGATCTCATGGTTTTAAAAACCGGAGTCTCCCTGTACAATCTCTCTTTTCTTGTCTGTCACCATGTGAGACATGCCTTTCACCTTCCGCCATGACTGTGAGGCCTCCCCAGTCATATGGAACTGTAAGTCCATTAAATCTCTTTTGTAAATTGCCTAGTTTGGGTATGTCTTTATCAGCAGTGTGAAAACAGACATCTCTTATTTTAAAGAATACCAGCAAATTCTTATAAATGCAATCAATACTTAAATCAATACTTCAGTTTTAGTCAAAGTGGTCTGACTGTATTCCATAAGTAAATAAAATATGCAAACCCAGCTTACTGAAGTAAGAGAAAGACCACACTAAGAGGCAGGAGACTTGGAAGTCTTAGCCCTGGCATCAAATCTGAGAAAAGTCACTTGAACTTTTTTTTTTTTTTTTTTTGAGACGGGGTCTCACTCTGTCACTCAGGCTGGAGTGCAGTGGCACGATCTGGGCTCACTGCAAGCTCTGCCTCCTGGGTTCACACCATTCTCCTGCCTCAGCTTCCCGAGTAGCTTGGACTACAGGCGCCTGCCACCATGCCTGGCTAATTTTTTGTTATTTTTAGTAGAGACAGGGTTTCACCATGTTAGCCAGGATGGTCTCGATCTCCTGACCTCGTAATCTGCTGGCCTCGGCCTCCCAAAGTGCTGGGATTACAGGCGTGAGCCACCACGCCTGGACATTTGAATATTTTAAGCTGTAGCTTTCTCATCTCAAGTACCAGGTCAAATGGGAAAATATATGCTTCAAAGACTGCAAAATGATATACAAATAAATTATGACTAAAAGTATCTTTGGCTATAGCATTCAGATCCCTGTTGACAAATAGCTAACACATTTAAAACGTGCTAGTCACAGCTCTCTCTTTTTTCTTTTCTTATGGTTTTTACAAACAGAAAAGTTTTTAAATAGGAAAAGAAGGAAGGAGGAAGGGAGTATAAATAGTCATCAATAAAAAATGGACCATTTTAGAAATTGTGTACTTTTCTTTTGTCTGGTGAAGAGAGATCTGACCCCAGACAAAACTAAAAAAATACACAGGACTTTTGCTTCGTAAGTAAAATTGAGGAAAAAATGTTTTTTTCAGTATTCTGTTTCAATGTATGTATTTTTTTCACTCATTTCTTTTCTTAATAATTATTTCACACTTCACAGGAACACAAACAAAAATGAACCACTTTAACAAAAAGCAAACTCTTCTACCCAGAAAATTGTCTTTACAAAGGGTCAATTTTACATGTTAATATAAAATATTTACCATTTCATAGTCTGGTACTTCCATCCGTTTTTTCAAACTCTGTACAAGGGGAACTAGTGATTCCATTCTGGAAAAAAGCCATCCCACTCAGTTAAACATCACAACCACCGCAACTAAAATGACAATAGTAAATGATACATTATACTAACATTTACCATAATAACATGCTTCATATGGTACTTGGGAAATAAAAGATGCTGTCCAAATATCTTAAAATATTAAGAAATAAATGTTTCCTGTTTTCTTACCCAAAACATTGATATAACCATTGATGCTTTTAAGGTATTAAGTTTAGGTGGACCTTTTGGAAGCTCTGACTGGCTAATGCTTCTAGTGTTTTAATTCCTCCTCCACAAATATTCACTAATTTGCTGGGAGTAAAAAAAGAAAGAAAAAAGGAGGCATGGAGGCCTGCCTGCTTGCCCACTTGTTCTGTTACTTTTTCCTTTTTATTAATGACATTTTCTAGGCTTCTGGACCCTAACCAACCACCTCACTTCCCTAGACATAGTGAAGCCTCTATGCCGAGGGTCTGGCTCTTTAGGGTCATGGTTAGTTTGGGGAGACTTTTCTTTCAGTGTCATCTACTTTTCCTTTATGCTATTTTTTCTCCCTTCAATACCAAGCACAGTCTAAACTCACTACTGTTGCAGTCTCATCATATCTTCAAGTCTGTATTAGAACTCTCTGCTGGTGACGAGAAGCTAACCGGGCATGCTCAGTAGGCAGAGTGGGTTTCAGTGGAAGTCTGTGGGCTGGACTTAGGATTCCAAGGTTTCCAGGCATATTTTGTTGTTGTTGTTAAAGTTTTAAACTTAGCTTGAGACTTCATGAAATAACAAAATAATAGGATTTTTCAGTATTTCTAGGAAGACTCCTGTCCTGTGACTTACTTCTCTATCTCCCTCTTCTATCATTTCAAAAAAGAAGGAATCATTTTAGAACCCTACACTGAAGAGGAAAAAGCATTAACTGATGTTTTTTTTTTTTTTCTTTTTTTGAGATAGGGCCTCCCTCTGTCACCCAGGCTGGAGTGCAGTGGTGCGATCTCAGCTCACTGCAGCCTTGACCTCAAGTGATCCTCCCACCTCAGCCTCCCAAGTAGTTGGGGCCACAGGTGCATGACACCATGCCTGGCTAATTTTTTGTATTTTTTTGTAAAGACAGGATTTCACCATGTCACCCAAGCTGGTCTCGAACTCCTGAGCTCAAGCGATCTGCCCACCTTGGCCTCCCAAAGTGCTCAGATTATAGGCGTGAGCCACCATGCCTGGCCATTAACTGATGTTAAAGTGCCTAATCAATACTTACTGATGTGATTAATATTACTGTGAATTATTCCTCTACATCACTGCTTTGTTAGTGTCAATAATTAAAGCTTTATGATGTTTACATTTTAGGGATGCTTCTGAATATTTTAAGTAAAAATTACAATGAGTATTTTGAATAGATAATACATGCACATAGCAAAAGAAATAATTTCTCACTCGTATACTTCGTCATTTAGCCATAGAATTCCTTTCCCCAGAGGCAACCACTGTTCCAGGTTCTTCCATATTCTTCTAGAGATCTGCTGAATTATTTTTAATAACTATAACATGACAAATCTTAGTGGTTGTTCATGTTCTGGCCTAAAGTATTATTGATTCTAATTTCCCATTTTATCTTGCTACCTTACAACTGAATTTTCTTTTGTTTACACTAGAGAGAATAATATGACAGTTTGTGGGAGATTAGTTTTAAAATAAGCTAGTTCTGGTTTTCCTATGCTCATGGAGACCAAAAGGTTTGTCTGATGGTTTTATTTTAGTTTTCTGGCCGTTTGAGATTACATGATTTAAGACTTATTTTAGAGAAAAATCACTGTAATATTTATGCCAATATTCTTTCACGCCAGCTTCAATACCAAAGGCTTTCACTCAAAAAGAACTCTCTTCACACTTTTAAGGTAATATGAACAGTCAGTCAAATAAATGACCTGATGGAGAATCTAGCCTTCAAATACTGTTCCTTCATGTCAGTTTTTGCACTGGGGTTTTTCTGTGTGTGTGTGTGTTGTTTGTTTGTTTTTTTGAGATGGAGTCTCACTCTGTCGCCCAGGCTGAGTGCAGTGGCGTGATCCCTGCTTACTGCAAGCTCCGCCTCCCGGGTTCACTCCATTCTCCTGCCTCCTGTAGTCTCCTGTAGCTGGGACTGCAGGCACCTGACACCACGCCCGATTAATTCTTTCTTTTTTTTGTATTTTTAGTAGAGACTGGGTTTTACCGTGTTGGCCAGGATGGTCTTGATCTCCTGACCTCGTGATCTGCCCGCCTCAGCCTCCCAAAGTGCTGGGATTGCAGGTGTGAGCCACTGAGCCCAGCCAAGTTTTCGCATTGTAATTTACTTGTCAAGTAATTTACTTTTCTGTTGTTAGATTAGTATTTTTTTCTTATTCTACTTAGGACAGGGAATGCCTATGTACTACTCATCTTTAATTCTCTTTAAGACCTCGTACAGTATCTCATATTTAGGGGCAGCTACCGCACAAAGACTAAAAACATGCCTACTTACTATGTGACTTTGGCCAATTTCCTTAACCTTGGTTTTTTCATCTATAAAATTGACATAATAAGAATAAAACCATAAGGCTGTTGTAAGGAGTACATGAGATAAGGCAAGGAAAAATATTAGATAAAGGATACACAGAAAATACTCAATAATGTCTACTGTTGTTAGTAAATGTGTCGAAATTTAATACTAATTCTTTTTTCTCTTTCTTTTTTCAGACAAGTCTCTGTCACCCAGGATAGAGTGCAGTGGCATGATCACAGCTCACTGCAGACTCAAACTCCTAGGCTCAAGCAATCCTCACACTTCAGCCTTCCAAGTAGCTGGGAGTAGCGGCTATAGTGGCTACAGGTAGGTGCCACCATATCTGGCTAATTAAAAAACTTTTTTTTAGAGACAGGGTCTTATTACATTACCCAGACTGGTCTGGAACTCCGGGCCTCAAGTGATCCTCTCCTACCTCAGCATCCCAAGTAGCTGAATACTAAGTTTTTAAAAGCAATGTATCTTGCAAATTTAGGAACATATCTAGGACCGAAAGTTAGTAGAGTTGGGGGAAAAAAATGTTTGAGAGTCTTACCCAGGGTTTGAAGCCCATCTCTGTACAGTTTCTTCATCATCACCATCACACAAATCGGCAAAAGTGGCTTCTAAATCCTCTAACTGATGAATTCGAGTATCAACAATATCTACCAAATCTTCCTTTAAATACATTGAAAAGCTGAGATTACATAGTTATTCTTTCAAAAAACAAGCAACATTCCATTACAAAAAAAACTTGGCTCTATTAGTTAAAACATAATTTTCAAGGACTAACCATGGGCTTTGCCAATACACACACACACACACACACACACACACACACACACTCTCACTTTGAGCAGTCTTTGAGATCACTGTAGTAATTTGCAAGATACTATTAGTTATATGATAAATGAATAAAACCCCAAAGAAACAAATGGAGGATACCTCTGTTAGGTTGGTGCCAGGTTTCTTAAATTTGTACAGCTCTTGTAAGATTTTGTACTCTTCCTGGAAAACAAAACAAAAAATCCACATACCAGAAAAAAAAAGTTAAAAAATTTTAATGATATGCTTTAAGGAAGAGACAGCCTTGCTTGTGATATAAGAACATCTCAGATAATTATTTAAAAGTTTGTATGGGAGAATGAGGCAAAATGTATACTTTAGATTTTTATTGTAATAATTTTATTGTAAATATTGTAAAATTTATTTTATTGTAAATATCACTTCTTCAAGGCAACTCTATCCAGCTGGGCATGACAATACTATGTAAAAATTACCTAAGGAAGCATACTTGGTGGCTAATGGGTCATGACATGAAAATATTTTAAATAATATTCCACTATATAAATGGTATGTCCTAGGATATAAACAGACTTTAGCTATTTACAGGAAATATACGTATCTTTAATAACAACAACAAAGAACTCCCCATGTCCACTTTGCAGCCATTTCTCTAACAACAGAAGAGAACTCTTAAGTACAAAGGCAATACTGGAGGCAGAATGTCAAAGACATAGAACCTCGGTCAGGAGGCTCCACTAAGGGGAGAAAGAGGTTTGCTATACAAACTTTGTAGGATAATGTTTCCCCTTGTTTAGCACAGCTACATGGATCCATTATATAGGTGGGTACACCTGGCCCCAGTAATCCTATTTAGGAGTATTCTCGGAAAGAGGTTATACCCAAGAGCTAAGATTCATTAAGCACAATGTTGTGGCATATCTTCAGCGCTTTATTCATTCATTATAACAATCCTGAGTTGGGTATGACTATTATTCTGATTTGGTACTTGAAGAAACTATGGGTCAGAAAGATTAAGTAATTTTCCTACGATCATATAGCTAATAAACAGTAGAGGTAACAATAGAACTTAACTCCCCTAACTTTTGAACATGCTTCTTTTTTTTCTTCTTTTTTGAGATGGAGTCTTGCTCTGTCACCCAGGCTGGATGGAGTGCAGGGGTATGATCACGACTCACTGCAGCCTTGACCTCCCAGGCTTAAGTGATCCTCCCATCTTGGCCTCCCGAGTAGTGGGACCACACGCACGTGCCACTATGCCTGGCTAGATTAAAATTTTTTTTTTTTTTCATAGAGAAGGAGTCTTGCTACATTGCCTACACTGTTCTCAAACTCCTTGGCTCAAGTGGTCCTCCTGCTTTGGCCTCCCAAAGTACTGGGATTATATGTGTGAGCCACTGTACCCAGCCTGAACATGCTCTTAAAAAAAAAAAAAAGATGAACACCTGTCTTTCCTAATGATATTTTAAAAATTGCCACTAAATAATAGAGTGTAATACATGTTTTAAAAAAAGTCTATTGTACCAAAGGGTCTAAAAGTGTTCCCAGGTTTCCTGATAGCACTCTAAAAGGAATAACTGCCACTGAATTTCTTATGTAACCTTCTAGAAACTTTCATTACAAATATTTACTACAAATATTTAGGTGAGTAATCAGGCACGTCACTGTTTAAGGAATAATCCGTTACACAGGATTTATATATAGAATATCTCTGGAAAGATACACAAGAAACTGACCACAGTATTCATTTCTGAAACAAAGAACTGAGGGAATAGGGATAAGAGAGTGCTGTTTTTCAATGTACACTTGTGCCTTGGTATCCGTGGGGGATTGGTTCGGGGACCTCCTGTGGATACCAAAATCTGTGGTTGCCCAAGTCCCTGATATAAAATAGTGTAGTATTTGCATATAACCTATGCATACCCTCTCATATGCTTTAAGTCATCTCTAAATTACTTATGGTATCTAATACAGTGTAAATCCTATGTAAACAGTTGTTATATTGTATTGTTTTTTATTTGTATTATTTTTTACTCTTGTATTGTTATTTCTAGTTGTTTTTTATTTTTTCTGAATATTTCCTATCTGTGGCTGATTAAATCCACGGATACAGAGGGCTGACTGTATATACCTGTACTGTATGATTTAATTTTTATCCATCACCCATGTATACATTACCCCAATTAATAAACGCAAAATAATGAATACTGTCTACAGCAGGAGTTGGCAATCCACAGCCTAGAGCCTGTTTTTGTATGGCCCTCAAGTTAAGAATGGTATATACAACTTAAATAGGTTTAGAAAACAACAGAAAAGGGTATTAGTAGAGAATGTGAACCCCAAAGCCTAAAATAATTGCTAGCTGTCTGTTTAAAGAGTTTGCTGACTCCTCATCTAGAGAAAAGCCACACAATTCTCAAGATCTATGTGTTAAAAATATAATATTTACCTGAGTGAACATTTCTTTGAAGGGATTCTTCACTGAAAAAAAATCCAAGTCAATATCTAAAACAAATGCCTTCCCTTTCTTCACAATTTCCAGAATCTCCCCAATGCTGGCGGCAGTCTGGCATTCCTGATTTTCAGAAGAACATGAACATGATGGTTCTAGGCAAGTCTGGTCACTTCTCTGTGTCGCTGTGTCCTTTTCCAGTCCTTCTGAAGAAGAGTCACAGTTAGTAGAGGCAGTGTTTTCCGAATCTTCCAGGTCTAGCTTTGGTTTCTTAGCAGAAGACATTGCATCGTTTTCTTCTTGATTGTTACAGAGTTTATAAGGTTTTACCATAATTACATCCAATTGTAACGGTTTTTGGTTCTCTAGCTGGTCTTCAGGTACATACAGACCATCACTTAGGAAGTAATGATCTGTACTTGTAACCCTGAATCAGAGGAAAAAACGATTTTTAAGAAGAATGGGAAAATTAGTTGACATTTCACTATGGCATGGCAGAAATATAAGAATGGACCTATTTGACAAAAACTGAGAGCAGTCTCTAGTATTTGTACTTCCTGTTCTTCTGTAGAAATAGCATTCCTCAAATTCTTAGCTGGACACACAGCTGCCCCACATAAAGACTACATTTCAGTCTGCCTTGCCTGGTGTGGCCATGTGATTAAATTCAGGCCAGTGGTTGTGAATGGAAGAAAAGCATACAGAGCTCTGCTCTCCTGTTTCCTGCTGACTGGCATATGACCACAGAGGTGGCAAGCCACCTTGGACTATAAAGACAAGGGCAGTATTCTAGAGACGGTGGTGCAAAAAGATAGAAGGAACTAGGGTTCCCCAAACTCTAGAGCTGCCACATAGGCCTGGACTGTGTACACTGAATTCTAATATAAGAATAAACTCTTGTTTAAGCCAGTGTTCCTTTGTTTTCTCTCATACCAGCTGAATCTTTATCCAAAAAATCATTGAAGAGAAAAATTTCATCTGGAAATAATTTCTCTTCATAGAAACTCCCCGACATATTTTACAGCTTTGTTAATTTCTATATAACCGTAATATTTTCAATATGAAAGGTGACTAGGTAAATAAACAGTGAAGCCAAATACTTCTTCTAGAGGCATGCCTTACCCACCTAAAATAATGGTTAATATTTATTTCCCACTTGCCTTCTCCCAGCATACACAGCTGTAAACTGTAAAAGTTATTTTCCAAAAATAGATTAATGACATAGTAAAACTAATGTCCAAGCTTATTAAAACTGTACAACCCTAAGATGAGGCTGTATCCCCCAACCTAAATTAATATTCTTTTTAATAACAGCAGTTTTCCCGTGTTCCTATCATACAAACATACAAATATTTGTCAAACTAAACACCTACATGTATATGTGTCTATTCCATAAAGTTTTACTTGCAGGATTAACCAAAATCATGAATCAAAATCTTCCAAAATTGTTAATCAGACACAGAGTTTCAAATGTCTGTGTCAGATTGCTGAAAATTATTTGATTTTGTAGGTTAAATCAGGCCTACCCACGGAAGTACTCAATAAAAACCCTACTACTATTTCACACATACCAGTAGTATGTACAATATTTATATGCTGAGTCTTAATTATTTCTTTTGAATTATATCTGAAATAAATACAATTTTCATATATCACAACAAAGCCATTGGTGTGAATGATAAGAATATATACTACAAAAGTTAATTGTGTCATTAAGAATAAATTAGAAATAAAGTATCATTTTCAATAAGGAAGACCATCTGATTTTCAACGTATTACCATTTCATTCCACTATCCCTAAGGTTCTAGAATGTTATGGCTATACTGCTTAAAATATTTATCCCATTACAAGAGAATTTTAGAGTCAAGAACATATTGACATTTCTAAAAGTATTATAGTATCACAAGATACACAAAACATTGGTTAAATAGCTTACACAATAAAAACAGCTGCACATGTATCTCAAGTCAGAGGATACTGTAACTTACTTTAGATTAAGTACTTATCTGAAACTACTTATATTATAATCAAGAAAATTAAAGCCCCAAATCTACTTATTCAGCAGTTGGATTTATAAAAAAATCAAAGTGAGATAATTTTGCCCTTTCACTACTAATTATTGTTTTTTTTTTTGAGATGGAGTCTCATTCTGTTGCCCAGGCTGGAGTGCAGTGGCACGATCTTGGCTCACTGCAAGCTCCGCCACCCAAGTTCACGTCATTCTGCCTCCTCAGCCTCCCGAGTAGCTGGGACGATAGGTGCCCGCCACCACGCCTGGCTACTTTTGTTTCTGTATTTTTAGTAGAGATGGAGTTTCACCATTTTAGCCAGGATAGTCTCGATCTCCTGACCTCGTGATCCGCCCACCTCGGCCTCCCAAAGTGCTGGGATTACAGGTGTGAGCCACCGCAGCAAATTCAGCAGATAACAGTTACATTGAAAGGAAACAGTAAAATGTACTACTGAATATATAAATCTATAAAATACTTCAATGGCTTAAGGAGTTAATCACCAATGAAGCCCAAATTCCAAAGGATAAAGATCACATTCAAAATCTAATTTGACCAGCAACTAAATATAAATGGTACATGAAGAACATCAAGAGACTTAAAAGTTTGTTCTTCATGTTTTGAGAACTCTTTGGAGAAGTTGAGGCTTAATCTGATCCTATTTGTATGCAGAGACTTATGAAGTTATTATAGGAATCCGAAATAAGAAACATTCAATCATGTGCATATTCACAAATATGAGGAAATTACCTGATTGTTGTGGTAGAAGTGTCTTTACCTACTAAAAAGTGGTGTTTTCCCTCTCTGATTTGCTGAGCCCATGTGGGATGAAACCATACTACATGTGAAAAATGGCCAGCATAAACCGCAGGCATAATCCAATTTTCAATACTTAATTCTCTGGAAAAGAAATAGACAACATTAGAACTTTAAAGGTGTTTTTTTTTCCCCCAAGTGTAATTTCATCCACAACATTTTAAGACCACAGGTCTCAAAGTGTGGTCCCTTGAATGGTTCCTGAGACTTTTTCAGGGACATCACTATTACAAAACTATTTTCATGAAAATACTAAGGTATTATTTCCTGTTTTCATTTATTGACATTTGCAAAGATGGTACAAAGGCACTGGTGGGTTAATGTTCCAACATTAATTAAGGCAGCAGCACCAAACTGTTAGTAGTTACTATATTCCTCATTACCAAGCACTGCCAAAATAAATAAATAAATAAATAAATATAAAAGTTTCATTTGAGAACATCTTGATTTTATTAAATTTCCATCTTGAGTATACATTTTAAAATATTCTGTGACAAAATGAGAGATGCACAGAAAGCTCTCCTGCTATGTAGTTTGAAGCACAACAGTTGTCTCAACAAAAAGCACTTGTGACTGAAATTTGAGGTGAACACCATTTATCTTGAAAGAAGTGATCACTAAACTATGGTTATTCACACTTGATACTGAATTGCTGAATTCTACATTTCAAATAAGCTTTAACAAACTACTACTTTTCAAGTTTTGGTGCACTATCAAAGAATATTCACAATTATCTGAAGAGGCTATGAAAATACGCTTTCCTTTTCCAATTACATGTCTGTGAAAGCCTGAATTTTCATCATATTTTTCAACCAAAACAACATACGGCAATGGACTAAATGCAGAAATAGACATTTAGTCTCTATAAAGAAATAGACAATGGTCTCTATAAAGGCAAATATTAAAAGGATTAAACATTGGCCAGGCTGTTTTTGTAAACAAAGTTTTTTTGGTTTGTTTCTTTTAAGAGATGGGGTCTGGTTATGTTGCCCAGTCTGGAGTGCAGAGGCTATCCACAGGCTTGACCACAGCCTGGAACTGCTGGCCTCATGTGATCTTCCCACCTCAGCCTCCTGAGTAGCTGGGACTACAGGCTCATCCACCATGCCCAGTTTGTAAATAAAGTTTTATTGGAACACAGCTACTGTCATTTGTTTACACAGTGCCTATGATTGTTTTCACACTACAAAGGCAAAGGTAAATAGCTGCAACAAAGACCATATGGCCAGCAAACCTAAAATATTCACTAACCTGGCTCTTTAAGAAAGTTGTCAACACTTGTTCTAAATAAAATGAAAAAGGCAAAAAGACAAACAAAAAACCCCCAAACCCATGAGTTTCGCAAAGTCTATTTCCTATAATTACTTATTATCTACCGCAAATTGTACTTCAAACACAAAAGACCATGAATAAAATCACATATTACCCGAAGAGTGTTTCCTTATCAAACACAGTGTCTGCTGGCATATTCACAGGAATAAGGAGGTCTGGATGTGAGTCGAAATGTAAAAAACTTATATTACTGGCAGGAAGATGCTTTGAGCCTATGGCCCGGTATATAAAGGGTAGAACCTGTAAAAGACACAGGCACATAATCAGAATTAACACTGAAACCATGAGCACACACTCAACTGCAGACTGAAAAATGCTAAGTAATGCACATAATTGAAAGCATACTATGTTGCTGAAAAGTGGAAAAAGATAAAATTTATTGTAGATGGTGCAGATGATAATAATCTCCAGCATTACTTTGTCCTCAGAACTTCCAACCTGCACCTCTAGCTGCCTTCCTGCTGCCACCTCCAACTCAACAGGTCATGTGGGGAAACAGACCAGGACTGGGGCTTAGGAACAAACTACCGCTTAGTGCCTGTTCTAACATTAACTAGGTGTTCAAGGTATCCTAGGTCTCAAAGTATTTTTTTTTTTCCTTTAAAAAGGGATAGGGTCTTGCTCAGTCACCCAGCCTGGAGAGCAGTGGTGTGATCATGGCTCACTGCAGCCTTGGGCTCCTGGGCTCAGGCGATCCTCCCACCTCAGTCTCCTGAGTAGCTGGGATAACAGGCATGCACCACTACGCCCAGCTAATTTTTTCACTTCTATTTTTGTAGTGATGGGATTTCGCTCTGCTGTCCAGACTGGTTAGGGTCTTTTTGGTACCCTTAGAATGGTGGAGTTGGGCTAGGTGGTCCATAAAGGCCATTTCTCCTCTTACATCTTCTCTAATTCTAGGTTTAATACCTAATTTGAAAGCACCGTCTAACCTAGGCTTTCTCATTCTCTCAAGGTCATAGACACTATATCCAGGTCCTGAGAAACCTATCTTCCTCTCCTATTAACTGTCACTATCAGTAAATCCCTCTTATGTTTTAACAGTCATAGAACCGCCTCCCATCCCAAGCCTACTGATGCTACTTTAAAACAAATTTATTAGATCCATGGGCCTCCTTTGTTGACTTGGAAAAGTCTAGATTAAGACACCAATTTAGCTACTGTAAATCAGCACGGCCATAAACATGGAAACCCCTTTTAGTGTTTATCTATGCAGGGCACTGTCTTAAAATATATATATTTTTTTACACAATATGGGCCGTGTGCAGTAGCTCACGCCTGTAATCCCAGCACTTTGGGAGGCCGACGGGGGCCGATCATGTGAGGTCAGACGTTCAGACCATCCTGGCTAACATGGCGAAGCCCCTTCTCTACTAAAAATACAAAAATTAGCTGGGCACGGTGATGTGTGCCTGTGATCCCAGCTACTCAGGAGGCTGAGGAAGGAGAATCGCTCGACCCCAGGAGGCGGAGGTTGCAGTGAGCCGAGATCGCGCCACTCACTCCAGTGTGGGCAACAGAGAGAGACTCCGTCTCAAAAAAGAAAGAAAGAAAGAAAAAAGAGTTTTAAACACAATATGCACACAATAATACTCCTAACAGCCCTGTGAGTCCTACGATTGCTGTCCCCATTTCAGATCAGAGCCCACGTTTCAAGCATAAGGCCTCCCATCTAAACAGCAGGGCTGTGGTGGCGATTCCAGGAGACACTTGGAAGCCACAGTTAATTGCAGGTTACGGTCACAGGGCTCTGCAGCCAGCCTGTCCGGGTTTGAATCCCGACGCCACCAGTTGTTTGGTCCTGGGATTTGGGGGCAAACCGAGGTAAATAAGTTGCCCCGACACGTAGGAAGCGCCCATAAATGCCAGTTCTCATTCTTCCTAGTTAGTTGTTTTGGGGTCCTCCCCACAGCAACGGAATCGGGCAGTTTAACTGAATCGGGAGGCCAGACTCTCTGGCCTCCGATGCTAAGGTTGCGCCGTCTGCTTGGCCCTCTGAGCGTCACGGTTTCCGCTGATTCTGCCCCAGAGCCCGGCCGCCGTCCACTCACCTCTTGATGATCCTCCACCACCCACACTGGGAGCTTGGGGTAACGCCGAAGACCAGCGCGCCCTCCCGCGGAGTCACTCATGTTTTTGCGCCTGTCAGCTTTGCAGCAAAGCGGTCGCAGCTGGAGAAGACCCGGGAAAGCCGGCGCCTCAACCCGGCCTTCCCTCTCCGGGCGGACGCGCTCCCTCACCCGGTTGTGTTTTTGGATTGGAGGACTTAGAAGGAGGGGGGCGGGCTCCAAAGGGTCCTTTGCTGACGATTGGTCTAGACGTCCATCGCTTTCATTGACGCGCCAATCACCGCGTACAAGGCCCTGTGGTGGGCTGAAGCGTTTTCCCTCCCTTGGCCCAGCTGTCTCAGGTTTGCTTTTTAATTCCCTCGGTTTCCTGTTCCGGAGGCGCGGGCGGCGCCACTGTCTTGGTGCCTGGAGTAGTAGCCTGGCTTTTCTCTGACGGCGACCTCGTGGCCCGAGAGCTTTTTATAGGTAAAAAGGGGACCTTGCAAGTGTTCGAAGAGAGTTTCCGAGTGTCAGGATTTAAACGGGGCTGGAGTCTCCGGGGCTGGGGTGAAAGGCGTCCGGGAATTGGGGTCGGGAAGCCCCACTTCAGATCTGCAGCTAAGGGCAAAACAGCGACCCTAGGCCTGGATCCCGCAAGTAGGTGGAAGTGAAAAAGGAGACCTTTCCTTCATTTGTGGAGCACACACTATGGTCCAGGCCTGGGGCCGTCCGGCTCTCGGAGGGGAGCGAGATCCTGAGCTCAGCGCCTGCCTCGTGGGGCGCAGCGTCTGGCGGGAGATGCAAACAGTAAATATGCAGTTACGGATCAGGATGAAGGTGACTGCCCTGCAGCTCCACCTGGGGAAAGAGGGAGTTCTCAGTAAAAATGTAGTCACACTTTACAATTCTTTTTACATGCACTGACGTTCCTGGCTGTGTTAACTATTCAAGACAGCTCCCTCAGTGTCTCTGCTTCCAAACCGCAACCGAGAAGAGACAGACGGAGAAAAGAGTTACTTTTCCAGTTGCAGTGAATTCCTTGACTTTTGAATTAAAGTCTGCATCCACAACATAGCCGGACTATGCCTTCAATAGGTCAATTTCATGATTAGTATTTTTAGATTTTCTAACTACAGAAACATCCATGAGGATCTGGCAGTTTCACACTGTGCAAGAGTGTTCATGACAATGACTTTTCCCACCCCTAGGTGCAGCACACACCTTTGTGTTCCCTTAAGCCCTGAACATACCTCTTTTTTGTGTGTTTATTGCATTATTTGGCAAGTATTTTTAAAATACTTACTTGTATGTGGGTTCTGAGTTCCTTGAATCCTACAGGCTGTGTGTCTTCCTTATCTCTGAGTCTACAAGGCCAGGGATAGTACTTCCCATGTATGGCTCATTAAATATTGCATGAATCAGTGAAAAGGTCTGCTTTCTGTTGCAGAGATACATGGAAGGGAAATGTACAGTAGCAACATGGAAACATATACTATTGGTGAGACAGTAAACATATATTGACCACCAACTGTGTGTAGGTTCCTTTTCCTGGGGATGTGAAGGATACAGAAATGACTGTGAATCAACCCATATCATCAAGGAGCTGATAATCTAGTGGAGGAGTTAGACATGTGCATACTTCACTGTGATGTGAGGCAGCCTCTGGTAAGTGCTGTAGAAGAATTAAGTATAGACTAAGTCTAGACGGAATGGGATTACCTAAGGGAATCAGGAAGGGCTTCATAGAGGAGGTGGCATTTAAGATTGGTAGATAGATAGAAAAATCACTGGGCAGATTCATATGTTGGGAGATTTTTTTTTTTTTTTTTTTTTTTTGAGATGGAGTTTCGCTCTTGTTGCCCAGGCTAGAGTGCAATGGTGCGATCTGAACTCACTGCAACCTCTGCCTAGGGTGAGAAATTTTAGAAGTAGAACGGGAGCAAAGAACTAACTGGTTCTTTGTACTCGAATGGTAATCCGTTGGGAAAACATGGGGTAGTAGGGTCTTTGTGGGGAAGGTACTGGAGAACAAGCCTGGGTGCAGAGTCTGTAGGGCCTTAAATGCCAACCACAGACTTTGAACTTGATTCTGTTGGCGGTAAGTAGCCTCAGGAGCACCTGTCTGGGCCCTAGGTTTATCATGAGGGTACTGGACTAGATAATAATAGTCAGGAGTCAGGCACAGTGACTCACGCCTATAGTTCCAGCTGTTTCGGAGGCTAAGAGGGGAGGATTGCTTGAGCCCAGGAGTAAGAGACAGCAGTGAGCTATGATTGCACCACTGCACTCCAGCCTAGGGACAGAGTGAGACTCTGTCTCTAAAAAAAAAAAAAAAAGATATTATTTGGTGCCTATTATTTATTAAGCACGCTGATTGCTAAGATAATCTGAAATTATTTTCATTGGCCATTTGAAAGTCTACATAGTTAAGTTCTATTGGTGAGACTTTTAGTTAGAAAGACTTTAGGAAAATGTTTCTATGTTAAAGCTTTTTGTACTCAATATTGATGTGAGTTTTTTTTTAATGTTTTGCTGAAGTTCAAGTATTTGGAAAATCATTCATGTTTACAGTGTTTTTCTGTGGGAGGAACTGAGAATGAAAATCAAGAATCATAACTTGTGTTAACAAGATTATGGTTATATTTGAATTTGAATGCTGGTCACACTGTGATTTTTGTGTTTGGTCTATGCCTACATTTTTTTTTTTTTTTTTTTGTTTTTTAACGTTGACAATCATGGCGATGCATTGAATAGAAAGAACTTTTACCTTTTTCTTTTTCTTGTCTTTTCTTTCTTTTTTTTCTTTCTTTTTCTTTTTCTTTTTTTCGTTTTTTTTTTTTTTTTTTTTTTTTTTTTTTTTTGTGTCAGGAGATAGAGCCGTTGCTGGCTGTGTTCATCCAGCCTGGAGCTGCTCAATGGGTGAAGTCAGTAGCGCGCTCAAAACGATTGACAGATCTCTAAGGCTCGAAGGGATCCCTCGCCAGCCTCAGCCTCCCAACTGTACGTTTAGGATTACAGACATGGCACTACCGGATGCCAGCGCTAGATTTTTTTTTTCTGTGGAGTAGAAGGGTCGTTGCTTTGGTGTGGCTGGCAGGAGATCGTTCAGAGCTCGTTGCGCTGGCGCGTCAAGAGAGTCGTTCGCCAGCGCGGTGCGCTGCGGCCGGTAAAGAGCTGGTACTGGAGCGGATTACGAGGTGTGAGCCGAGGCGTGGCAGCTGCGCGGCGCTGGGGGGGGTGAGACAGAGTGAGACGCCTGTTTCTCGAAAAGAGTATCAGTATTTATGGTGTCTCTGCAATTCTGCAGTATTAGGGATTTTCCAGATGTTTTGTCATTGAATTCTATAGTAATTTACTGGTTATAGCCTAAAAATGTTTTTCCAGACATTTTTTTTTAGACACTGCAGGCAGGAGTTCAGTGCATGGATCATAGGTCCACTGCAGCCTGGAGACTTCCTGCGCTCAAGCCGTCCTCTAACCTCCAAAGACATGAGCTACCAGTGTCCAGCCTGAATGTTTTTGTTATTTGTTAATTTGTTAAGATTGTTTTTCTTGACCGGGCCACGGGCTCACACCTCCGTAATTCGCCAGCACTTTGGAGGCTTGAGGTCGGCTGGATCCACTGTAGGTCAGGAGTTCGAGAGCCGCGCTGACCAAACATGGTGAAACTCACCACCGTCTCTACTAAAAGCTCAAAATTAGCCAGGTGTGGTGGCCGGGCGCCTAGTAATGCCATAGGCTACTAAAGCGGAGGTCTCCCGAGCCAGCGAGAATCAGCCTTGAACTTCAGAAAGCGGAGGTTGCAGGAGCCGAGGATGTGTGCCCACTGGCCTCCTAGCCCTTTGGGCCGACAGAGCCAGAAGCAATGAGCAAAAACGACTAATCTCAAAAAAATGAAGAAAAATTTTTTCTTGTTTTTTTTACGACCCGGAATATGGGTGCCTCCCCTTCTTTTTTTTTTTTTT